AGTTTGGCTTTCTACCACGACCGCTTCTATTATGAATAACACTAGTTTCACGTACCCTCTTCAGCGTTTCCATACATCTATTGAAAAGTGAAATTTTGCCTCAATCTGTCGCATGTCGTAACCTTCACCAACTCACAACATTGATTTCTACACGTTTATCATACGGCGTTTCTGATCTGAAAACCATATGTGCATATACCACATTACCGCTGGAAATAGTATGTTCGTCTGTATATGAATTACGCTGAAGTGGCATTGTCTTATTGGTTGACAGTTACTGGCAGTGTAAGCTATCAGCACGTGACTTTACTCTGGTGTATTTTTGGTACAGTTGAGGGGGAGCAATTCCATATTATTGGCATTTTATACCCATTTTATTTAAAGTTTCCATAGTTATTCCCTATACTTAACATGAAAATTAAGCAGTTTATTATGTATACTTTCTAAGTTGCAGAGTTTTATGTAAGTAGCATTTAAGCTTTAAAAATTACATGTAATTATACTTTATTGAACAACGCGTGAACTAGTTACTAATTAAAATAGCGTAACATTTTTATATTTCAAGCTTGTTTAATTGTAGTTAAGCGCAAAGCTACACAATTGGTTATCTGTGCTCTGCCCACCACGGGTATCGAAACCCCGTTTCTAGCGTTATAAGTCCGCAGACATAACGCTGTGCCCGTGCGGGGCGGGGGGGGGTGTGGCTATATATTTCAACTTCATATTTTAATATCTAAATATCATACAAATATCATTACTCTGGAGTTACTTAACAAAAAAAATCAAAATAATAAACTAAACAAAAAGTATGTTAACAAATGACATTAGAATGAAAACACCAATATTTTATAAATTATTTAAATCATGGGACTATTACGGACAACTGTAGATTGAAATTATACGCGAAATCTTAAGTGAAATATCATCATCTGCTTTCATTTAACATAAAACGATATACGTCCCATCTCGAAACATATATTAGTAGACACCCGATGGTTTGAGGGCTTATAACTTTAAAAGAAAATGGTGTTTAGTTCCTGCGGTGAGCACAATGCGGATAGCACATTTTTAGTTTTTATTCAAAATGTACATATATAAACATTTATTGATAAGTTGAGAGGAATAATGTTATTTAGCTATTTTATATTTATGAATATTTACTTGTAAAATTTCGAAATTATTTCTTGCAGCTCAACAGGATCGGAGACGTTTATAAGTTTAAGCAATTTATTTTTCTACTATCACCTACTAAAATGCTGAACTCATTTTCTATCTTCTCTGTAGTTAACGGGCTCGGCATGGCCGCGTGGTTAGGGCACTCGACTCGCAATCTGAGGGTCGCGGGTTCGAATCCCCGTCACACCAAACATGCTCGCCCTTTCAGCCGTGGGGGCGTTATAAGTGACGGTCAATCCCACTATTCGTTGGTAAAATAATAGCCCAAGAGTTGGCGATGGGTGGTGATGACTAGCTGCCTTGCCTCTAGTCTTACACTGCTAAATTAGGGACGGCTAGCGCAGATAGCCGTCGTGTAGCTTTGCGCGAAATTAAAAAAACAAACAAACTGTGGTTAATGGAAACTCCAAAATTTATCTTTAATAAGATTATAAACAAAAACTCAATTTCAGAGAAGATTTCCAGGATCCCCCCCAAAAATGAACAATGGGATTTCAAACTCACACGGGAAAATGTCCCAGAATTATGTTTAATGTTCATTATTTCATTATAAGCAATATTATTTTTTATACAAAAAAGCATTTTTAATTATGAAATTAGTAATTGGTTTCATTTATTAAATAGCAAGTTCACTTACTCTAAGAGTTTAATATACGGCGGCAACTAATATATACTAAAATTGCAAAGTAATTTTTTAAAGAAATGGCGTCTAAGACTGAAAACGTTGCCCTCTTAATTTTTTTTTTCGTTTTGCTTGCTCTTAAAAAACCTTCAGTGACGTCTGATTCAAAACCGATTATCTTTAACAGGCTCCACACATTAAAATATCTTTTTTTTATCGTCTAAATATCTCCTCTTGAGATTTAGGCTTTAGTTATGTGAATATCACAGAGTTTTCTTAGCTTTTTTAGTCATTACAGTCTGATATCCTATCTTTCTGGTCGTGAGACAAGTTTTTCTTTGTCTGGCTGCCTTTCCCTGTCAAAGGCGACCTTCATGTCTAATGATTTACATCTAGTTTCACAGATAAAATCTTACACGTGGGGGCACTACCTTGATGACATTGACATTTTTATTTGACAGATGTAAGGGCGAAGATATATTTTAACAGTGAATTGTATGTGCCTTTAAATTATATAAATGCATACTCGGTTTTCTTATTTAACTTATACTAAAGTGATTAATAACTGTGGTTAATTAAACATGGGAAATAAAAAAACATTTACGTCAATCTGATGCGTACACATAATCTGTAGAATGCAAAATAATGATTTCAATTTCGTCAGATGTATAGCTTTCACTGTTATAAAGATCATAACTGACGATTAGACATTTGGTTACTCTGTTAACTTACGAAACTTACAAACTAATATTTTTTATTTTGTATAATACAATTGAAATGTACAGTCTTGCTTGCCATCTCTATGATAAATTAATTATAAATTAATTCAAATAAAACACGCCTTTTCTGATTACTATATTTATTAGTGGAACTCAATGTAAAATAGGTAATTTTTTCCATAGCAGAATGTTGATTTAAATTATATTTAATAAGTTTGCGAGGCTAGTTGTAAACTTTACAACTTCATCTCACGCTTGATCTAACATATCATAATCAAAGTACATTTTTTACACCAGAAGCTGGAACTTAACTACTAAAAACTATTTTCTTCAACTGAACAATGAAAATCAATGTCAACTTTACCGAACAGTTTTTATCTGAACCACTTAGCTAATCCTGAAAATTGTGGCTTTTAAAACTGATTACCACGTCATTTCGCTAATCTTTGTCGTTTGATATTATAAACACTATACGAAATAAAATTAAGAGAAATATTTAATACGATATGAATAACTACACATTGAATTAAAATCCAAAAAATCGATAAATCGTTTATTATAGTGTTCGTGCTACCAATCCTGGGATGACACGACTCCCATTTTGTCTTCAGATTATATCACTTACTGATTCGATATTTTAAAAATCGTTTAAGTTTTTGTTACTATTTGAGTACAATTGTCGCTTGCTGGTTTGACGGAAGTTTGGACAACCAAAGATGTTAAAGTGGTGGAAACCGGACATACTGAAAGACATTTATTAATAGAAGTTAAGAAGAAAATATTGGATTAAGATATAAAAGAGAACATACCGACTGCTTCGTTTTCAGGGATCAACCATTTCCGCTTGAACTCGAACACCGGTGGAGTATTTTGTCCAGGGAATCCTTCACCTGCAAAATGGGGTTTATGATCTTATTTCAAGTTTGAAAAATCTATGGAAATACAGTGTCATACCGCAAGAATAATAAAACAAAACCTAACTACGAACAGACTTAAACACAATGGTGTTATTTATTGTCATTACAACTATGTTAATGTACGAGAAAATACAAAGCATTCTGTGTTTTAAAAAATCTATTACTTGTCACACGGAATCACATGGAATGATCAGTACATAAAAAATATATGTGCCTAACATTAACTCTTTGTTTCTTAATTACCATATTACTTGGCATTTATATCAAACGTAAGAAGATGAGCCTCCTCAGTATTATCGAAATTTATTTTGTTACAATTGCGTATGTCAAGTAAAAATTAAAAATGACGGGCAGTTCGTTAAAAAGAATGCTTATTGTACCAACATCACGAAAACCTGATGATGGTATACAGGTTATTTGAACAATAAAACTCACCTGTACGATGACAAATGAGTTTTCAATAGTATTGTTTAACGTACTTCTGTGAGTAATAAACATATATATATATATATATATACACTCACTGCATAAATGCTACAGATTCTTCAGATTCTATATATATATATAGATATACTATGGTGATTAAAAAACAATTAAACCACCATACATAAAATACTTTGTTGTTGCTAAAGTTAATATTTGTTTACTCGTACAAACCCTCAAAACTACATAAAACTAGGAAACCACTGTATTACTAGAATTCCTAAAAGGCAGAGTATTGAAATTAAAAAAAAGGAAGAAAAAGTTACTTCTAAATCTTCTCATCGCAAATATAAGCCTGGTGCAATAAATTTTTTCTCTTATTTCTTTAAAAGAAAACAAGTCTGCACAAAAATCACATTAGTTAGATTATTAAGTCTGTAATTATTCAATCAGGTACTAAAGTAATTTTCATACATATTACTGTCAGTATTAGCCCATTAGTCTTCTCGTTGAATTAAGTAACCACTGAAACTTAACTCATACTGTAGTCCTAACATACATTGTTAAATTGGGCAAAATTGTATTCAACTTCCAAACACACTATCAATTCTACAAATAATAAACACTCGAAAAAAGTATCATGTTTATATTATATACACACACACTGATTTCATAGATATTCATATATATATGTATATATATATAAATTCTGCAAGTATTCTTTAAAATAAATGATAACAGAAGCATCAGTAAGTTTTCAGAGTATTTTAATCAGATCAAATGCTATAACGCCTAATAACTAGATGTACTTCCGCAGGGTCCCCGAAAGTGTTTTGTTTCAAAAGTAAATAAAATCAAAATTAAGAATAATAAATATTTTTATTTCTTACTTTCGAAGTTCGTATGTCATGCTGTGTTGTAGCCTACAGCGTGCATAATTCTTCTCGTGATTCATGGAATGAGCACGTTTTACTGACGTTACGACAGTACAAATTGCAACGTTAAGCGTCCATTATGTGACGTCATTTTATTGTATACTGACTGAGTGGCAGACAACACACTAATGTACAGTGGTGCGAATGGTTAACACAGGTAACCCTTTCAGGCAGCCTTCGGGCTCCTGTCGGGGAAATAATAGTAAAGATCGTTCATGCAACTTTAAAACAAAATTCTATATTTATGAAACAGTAACTGATGTAAAAATCATCTATATTCTGAAAGATGCATTGAAATAAAATAAACAGGTTATTCTTTTACACAGTTTTAAACAATATAAGTTTTGGTCCCGTTTTGTTTGTAGTTATGCATAAAGCTGTACTGTGCCCACCACGAGTATCGAAACCCGGTCTTTAGCATTATAAGCCTTCAGATTTACCATTAAGCCACTGGGAATCAGTATCTTTTTTATTCTTATCAAAATTTTCAACGAATTAGTGTACTAATTTGTACCATGAAATGTCTAAAATCACAATTATTGTTTTCTACAAACTTCGTGTGTATGTTTTATTCACCCTGCTATTTCCTCATTTCTGTTGTCCTTCCTAAATACATTGCATTTGCATCATGCATAGGAGTTTTATCTTAGTTAGACGTTTAAGTAAAGAAACCATTGTTCAGCCATAGCATAAGTCGATCAACAAAAATATTCGAAATCCTACTCTCCATCCTATGATATTGTTTTAACATCATACGTTTTGTATTAGTGTCAAGTTGTATCTTATTCATCCACATAGATGATAGAAGTGACGAACGTATGAATACTATAATTGTAAATTCACATTTTAAAGACGATATCACAGTATCACGAGAATACAATGTTGAATGATCTTCTCTAATATTAAATGTTTTGGAAACAGCTACATAGGAACGTTTTGCTATTTTTACTTTGAAATATATTGAAACTAACAGTTAGTGCAGTATATGTTATGTGCATTTATAAATCAATCATTCATAAAAGTAGGCTAAAAAAAAAAGATAAACTTCAATACAAAAAACCGAAAACCTAAGCGCTTTCAGACTATTATCTTCAGTGGTGAATTGGAAGAAGAGTGTATCCTTCAAAAGTGCTCAGGTTATCTGGTATCTTGAATTATTATCGTTCCACGTTTTGTAACAGTCAAGAGGCAACACGCACACGAACTTGGCTGCTGTGCGGTTTACCGAATGTTGGAAAATGGGCTGTTTGCAAACCATATCCAATTAATAGTGTGTATCAACTTCTTTAAAGAGTCACGAAATGTTCAGAAAGATCAAACAGCAATGTGTGTTACGTGTAAGACACCCCACCAAGACACACATTCAAATTAATAACGCCAGCGTCTTCCATGCACCTTGCCTGAGATTCACTGATGTAAGAACACACCATGGTATTAAAAACAAATAAAGTACTTGATTAGCATTATGAGCATCGATTAGATGTTAATTAAAAACAACCTGCTGCTAATAGTAATTGTTAACAGATGAGATATAGAGTAAAAGAATACGTTACAAGAATGAAATGAGGCTTAATAAAAGCAAAACTACAGTACCAAAAAGAGAAAGAGCCCTTGTCCTCGGAGTACAGGGCAGTGGTTTCCAAACTTTTTCCCCGACAACACCCTAACCCACTTACTTTGATTGGCGCGACACCTCTGCTGTCACATACAACGTTATTATTGGGTTTCGTAGAATATTTTTATGTCCTTAATTAATCTTCGTCTGGTAAAACTCTCGCGACATCCCTAGCATCTTGCCGCGACACAATGTTATACGATATCAATATGCGCGCTGGATACTAATGAGAATTTTTAATTCAAACACTGAGACGCGGTGACAAATAATAACATCTTCGTCCAAACAACATACAAAAGAAAGGTTTTCATCGTTACATAAAATGGAAATAAGACAACAACTATATGTTTGTGCTAAAGGTTTAATTGTTTATGTTGCAGTGCTTTTCCAGTGGTAATGGCATCTTGTAAGGATACCTATTTTACCGACACAGAGCAATAAATAACCCACACAGAGATGAACAGTTTACATTTTAGACGGTCTTACGCTGGGTATGAATTTTAGCTTTATTATACAGTTTCTGAATGTGGTTCAGCAAAATTGATTAGGCTTGACTGCTTAAATTGTCAACTGAAAGAGTAACAATAAATTATTTCTGTGATTATGGTTAAATTGGAAAATATGGTTCTGAAAAAGTTTAGTTTTCAAATACTTTATACTCGTTGGTTTGTCAAATCCACATGACGTGATCAAAAGAGGAGCTTTAAAATTTTATCTTTAGTTTCTCTAAGGACTCCTCTGTATATCGAAAGTTGTATTTTGTTGTTTTTGTTTTTTTCTCAGTACTGCATTGATTCTAAAAATGGCCAGTGCAGCTTATCGAAACTAATATTAACCCTAGGTAACTGATGCCCAATAATTACAAAGCTTTAATACACTGGTAGTTGAATCAGGTGATAGATGGCAATCATAAAAAAAAAGCTTACCAGTCGTTAGAATTTAATAAGTTTTAAATAATCTCACCGTTAAATGCTCTAGCAAATCAGTCAGTTAAGTCATAATTCTTACAATTTTAAAATCAATAGCAGTGGTATACATATAGGCCCACCTGAGTCCAAACTCATGAAGTGTCCATTTGTGAAACATATAAGATTAATACTTTTTGTCCCAAGTGTCCGTCTGATACAACTCGTATAGGCCCAGTTGTAAGATACACACATTAACACCTTTGAGACCCAAGAACACACCTAAAACGCATTTTCAACTCGTGAAATGCCTACGCGCAGTCTTTGAAGTCACTTACGAGGCAGCAAGTGGAGCACCCCCCCCCCTTCTCCATCACCCCGTATCATGGTTTTATTCTATTTATGCTACAGTTTGGTACATTATTTCACTAATGTAACATTAGCAGGGCTGGACTGTATGAAGGAAGGATTATCTTTGCTTCAGATCCGTCGTAGGCCTATGTATACCACTGATAAGTAGTCCTATTTACACCACTGCTGATAAGCAGGCCTATGTACACCACTGATAAACAGGTAACATGGGAATTCAGGAGTGTAAGCATATTGACACCTGTTTGGAATCAAGGACTTAATACGATATCTTGTTTTATATTTCAGTGCTTTTGTTAAATATTTCAAATAGAATACATTCACCTGTCAAGAATATTACAATCACAAAGGTAAGTTACTACAATGTCGTGTCTTTTATAGGATTTGGCATTTTAAATCCACTTATGGCAAAGTCTGGTGTCAGGTGCGTTAATAGAATAATAAGTAGTGTCTACTCGGCATTAAATAAGGATGTTTTTTTTACTTCTCTTCTAAGATCTAAATATGAATGAAACCTGATTAGATACTAATCTGGAAGATCTGAAAAACTTACTGCTGATTATGTACAAACTAAGTTGTACCTAAACTCAAGGATAACATGTCTTTGAGAGCCTGTCTTAAAACCTGATTAAAATTTGAGCTGTATCACTCTTACATTAATATAGGACAAGTCGGTATTTTATTGTTCAAAGCAGTAAACTGTCGTTCAGCCTTGAGACTTGCTGAAATCAAGATAATTATATACATTTCTTTGGCATATTTAGGTATATTGCAAATCTGTTTTTCTTATATGTCTACAATATCTTAATGAGAATACATTATCAGGCCTTTGACGTCAATATCAAATATATAGATGCATAAATTTTGACGACTCGACGATAATACACATAAACAGATATATTAAATAACCTCATTCTAGAGAATACAGCTTTTTTGTTACATTCATATGTACTGAGAATATTAACGTTATTTATGTGGGACATTTCTCTTAGTAGAAAAACTAAAAATGCAGAGCGTGGCCTGATGGTCAGCATTCTTGGCTGTGTATCGGAACGTCTAAGGTTCAAGCCGCGATATGCTAATAAACTCGTTATGATAGTGACAGTCAGTTCCACGATTGGGTTACGAAGATTCGTTAATCGGCAGGTGCTACTGATAAGTTGTCCTCCCTCTAATTAACAGTTCTGAATTAAGAACAACAATTAGAGGGTGGGGTCTCAGACCTCCCTGTTATTTAGCCCATGTGTAACATAATGTTTCGTTCACATTGAAAATACAAAGACGAATAGTTACATTTTTATTCCTGTCTTGATCATCCATTTAACTAACGCATATAAATACATTGTTAATATATATATTTACACATCGATTTCTTTCATTCATTAGATAAATAAGTTATAATTTGCTTTGTAAGAACATAGCTGTAAATGCTTTTTTTTTAATTAATTAAGCACAAAGCTACACAATGGGCTATCTGTGCTCTGCCCACCACGGATATCGAAACCCGGATTCTAGCGTTGTAAGTCCGCA